GCCCCAAGCTGGGAGGTCTGAGCGCCGAAGGATGCCACCAGGATCAGGGAAGAATTGAACTCGTTCCTCCAGCAGCCAGCCAGGAAAAAAACAAAAAACGTTTTCACCACGTCATAAGACCGCTGTACAAAACCCCTTTTCCCCAAGGTTGTCTGGCAAGGAAACAAAATCTCCCTGAACTGTGTTAAGGAGAGAAAGAGAGAGAAGCGTTGAGACCTCCACCCTTGCTCCCGCCCCAAGCCTAGATGCTTGTCACACACACCATTAAAAAAAAAAACACCTTATAAACCAGCCAAAAACAAAATGGTCGATCTCCTCTTCGGGGCACATGCAAAGAAGCTGAAATGGGCCCAAAGGAAACAACAGGCTCTCCCCCGCCTCCCAGGTTTCCAACGGATTTCCAGAGAAGCCTCTCTTAATGTGGGGGTGCACCCTCCTCATTAAGAAGGAAAGAAAGGTTGCCAGCTGTGTTTCCCCCCCCCCACACACTTCTGCACTTTTTGAGAAAACAAAAGAACACAATGAAAACCAGCTAATTTCTGGCCATTTCTCGTTTTCGGTCAGCAGAAAGAGCATGTTGACAAAATGAAACAACAAAACAAAAGGTTTTCCTAAAATATACATTGCTACATATAAAAGTAAACATTTAACAGAAAGGAAATGGAAGAGGGAAAATACAAATATTAAGGTCTCCAAATGGACAGGAGGGCTTGAAGAACATTTGGGCGGGAGACCGATGGATACGGGCCTTCACACAACTTGATGGCAATTTTAACTCGGGAGGATGCAAAATTGGGGGCGGGGGGGGGCATGTTCAGCAAGGTTTTGTAGCTGGCCACACACCAGAGATTGTCTTTCAGACACCAGAATTCCTGGCTGACTGTGCAATAGCCTTAGAGCCACATTCAGGGCGTGGCCATGTCGGTGTACTGTAGTACCTAGTACCTTAGAGACCAAAAAGATTTTTGGGATATGAGGTTTCAAGAACCAAAGCTTCCTTCATCAGATATCTGCATTTGGGGAGAATATTGTAGTGAAGGCAACTGAAAGCAGCTGGCCCGGCAACAACGGCAGAGGACCCCGGAGGATTTTGCCCCCCCCCACATGCCCCACTCACCCTAATGATGGGGAAATCACTCTTATATTTTGGGACTGCAACATACAATAAAATAAAAACTAAAAATAAAATCTGTAGCCCCTATCTATGGATAGCTAAATCCGCAAATCGGGGTAATGTGGAAGATACAGAGATTTTTCTGCAAACTTGGTGGACCCCTAGTTTTCTTACCAGCTCAGAAGGAGCTGCTCCAGTCCTGCCTGGCGGTGGATGTCAACAGCCATATTGGGCCCGGTTGCAGTGGCGGCTGGCAGCCGCACCAAACCCAGCTGCAACAGTGAGGGAGGCTGGCAGCTATGCTGGGTCCAGCTGCATCAGTGAAGGAGGCCAGCAGCTGCATCGGACCAGGCCACAGTGAGGGAGGAGGCCGGCACCAAGTTCGGCCATGGAGAAGGCCGGCAGCCATGCTGGGTCTAGCCACGGCGGTGGACGAGGCCCGCAGCCACCTGGGACCTGGTTGAGGCGACGGAGGATGCTGGTGTGGAGGCTTGGAGCCACGCTAGGCTTGGTGATGGGGGAGGGATTTCCCTCCTGCAAGTCCCCCCCCCCACGAGCTGTTAGGATGTGAGGAATTGGCAGCAATGGCGGAAAGGGTTCCCATGGGTATCATGGGTCCCACTTGTAAATGTATAAATATAAATACATACATATAAATAATAAATTAAAATATTATTATAATAAATTAAAATAATAAATAAATATTAATATTACTAATAAAATAAGCAATACGTTGTTGAAGGTTTTCACATCCGGACAGGGGTCGTTGTAGAAAAAGAGCTGCCGGAGCTCATTAGCATAACTCATTAGCATAACTTATTTGCATATGCCACACCCCCTGACATCACCGGAAGTGACAGAAGGCCACACCCCCTGACATCACCGGAAGTGTGTCAGAAGGCCCGGCTACTTACCCTCCTGCTTCATCCTCATTCCCAAACGGAATGAGGATCGAAGCAGAGGGTGAGGTAAAGAAGGGGGCGGGGCTTCACCACGTGACCGCCCCGCCCCCTAGAGGTTCTCTTCCGGAGCTCCGTACCTGAGAGCTCCCCCCCGACTAGAGCCCTGCATCCGGAGTTCATTAGCTGTTGTAGATTTTCCGGGCTGTATCGTCGTGGTCTTAGACCATGGCCATACAGCCCAGAAAATCTACAACAACTAAAATAAACAATAAATTATGTCTGTCTGTCTGTCTCTCTCTCTCTCTGCACATGTTTGTGTGTGTGAAGGTATCTATTGCTTTTAATACCAGCCCCCTTAAAACAATTCCAAGAAGCCAGCAACCTCTTTGGTCTGGACTGGATTTAACGTCTGCCACATGACCGTCATGGGGTCTGGTGGTCAATTGTCTCTGTGACTTTCTTGTGGGAACTCCATTCCAAAGTGCCTCAGGGACTCCATTTGGACCGGGATCGTGACATGGGTTCAGAAGGGACTTCAACCCCACCCACCCCCATTTTCCAGAGCAAAAACAGTCCCTGACTGACATTACTTGCCCCATTGTGGGCCTGTACATACACTGGAATATTTCATGTCTCAGCCCCCTGGTGAGGTTAAAAAAAATGCTTCCCCCTGGGCAGTTGCAGCTTGGGAGAACGGCACGGGGGAAAAGCTGAAGCCCCTCCTTATGGTGCAGTCCTGGTCCAAATCGGGCCCTTGCAGCACTTCTGAATGCAGATCCCAGATGGATGTCGCAGTGCCAGACCCCGCAGAGGTCACGTGGTATACATGCCCATCTCGTTTAGCCTTTAGATGAAGCAGAAGTTGAATGCTTTTCCCTGTTTGAATGGCACTGAAGACAGCTGAACCACACGTGGGGGCTACAGGCAAAAGAAGCGGACTTCTGTGGAAGGCCACCCAGTCCAGAATTGTCTTATATGACTGACAGTAGCTCACCTCATGGCCTCACCTCACAAGACCTGTTGTGGGGTTAAAATGGAAAAGGGGGGTGGTGATGAACTACACTCTGGGAGATTTATATTCCTTGGAGGAAGGGTGGAATACAATGGCAAAGAGAGGGAATGGAAATTATCTGTTGCATTGGCAGTGGCTGGAAAGAACGAAAAACCATTTGTGGCGCCACTGGTTTTGATTTCAGTGTCATGAACCCCCGCTCCTGCAAAATCCTTCTGTCCAGAGAAGACAATGGGACAAATGAAACGTGCACACACAATGTGGGAAGTGAACTGTCTCTCAAGTCATTTTTGGGAAAAGAACCTGTCTGCCCCCAGCCTCTCCTGACCTCTGGAACTACAGTTCCCAGGATACCCTGAAGGAAAATGAACGACTGCAAGGCAGTAGCTATGCGCCCCCTCAAGGCAAGTCTGGTTCCACATCTGAGCATGGGTCAGCTGAATTCTCTTCAAAAACCTGAGACTTTTTTGCATCCTCCTGAGTTATAATGATGGAGTAACACCCAGTGGTCTAGATCATACTGCATGGAAGCCACCAAACAGAAGGAAAAATGGGAAAGGAATGGGGGGGGGGAAGGAGAAGATAAATGGTCCTCCAAATCCAGCCAATGAGAAAATAGGGCCAATGGGAAAGAAAGAATGAGACGAAGCAGTACAAGGAAGCAAAGCCATCTAACTGCGAAGTGGGCAGCGCTCCCACATTTAAGGATTTCTTGGGAGATGGGGAGTGTTACTTGGTCTTCGTACACTGCCACCCGCCCCCAGCCTCCCCCCCCCACTCATGGCTACTCCAAACCTGTGGCCGAGTTCTTTATATAGTAAAGATGAAAAGAGACAGAAAAACACAAAGAACAGCCTGCCACAGCCAATCATGCGTTTGGAACAGGAAAGAAAACAAAAAGGAAGAAAGAAAGGGGAGAGGAGGGAGGTGGGGGGGACCGACAAAGAAATCACCTCGTTTGAGGGGCAAATAAAATAAAAAATAAAATAAAGCAAAAATTCCGTGAAAAGCCCAGGTTGGAATATTGCCAGCCAGGGATTGGAGCCATCCCCGGGGCAACGGCAAAAGGAGACAATCCATTAAACTAAAACCAGCACCAGTTTCTGTCCCGGTGTCATTCACGGCCCCCGTGCCCCTGGCCGTTGGGGGGGGGGATGCAGAGAACCTGCTTCATCCTACAGGCTAAGTAGCTCGATGATGAACAATGAGTTTTGGGGAAGGAAGGGGGGGGCAAGAGCAGGGGAAATGTTTTCCCTTCGAACGATGACTGCTATTCGTCTCACGAAAATCCGTCCATTCCCCTGCCTTGATCACCAGCAATTACACCTTGCCCACCCCTCCCCTGGTTTGAACGCCTCCATTTTTGCTTCTTGAAGGGACTGGATGACCGCCTCACAGGGAACAGGGGGAGCCAGTCTCCCTTGCTGCATGCTCAACACAGAAGGTCAATGGGATGACAAGTGATGCTCACAGACGCCTCAGATCTGGGAGGCAGGGGATCGGGAGAAGGCTCCCTTCACCCAGGCCGGCAAGCAGGCCACAAGGAGCCTCTGTTGCCATAGTAACTTTTAAACTGCATGACGAAGAGGGTTCGGGGTCCATTACCATGTTTTTCATACAACTGAAAACATAAGAAGTTTCCCAAGACGAAGCAGATCCTGTTTCTCCTGCCCTGGTTGCGCCTCAGCACTCTAGCTTCAAGCTGTCGTCCCTCTTAACATGCGCTGACCACCTCCCCCTCCCCTCCACTGTGAGGACTGAATGCGTTTCAGGAGCACAGCTGATCCTCAAATTAAGTGTCACGTGAGAAAACAAATGAAAACATACATCCCTGGCCGTGCCGTGCCCTGAGTGCCCCTGCACCCCTATACGGCTGCCCCCTCACCATTCCAGGCCTTGGCGCCCAACCTCAGAGTTTTCTCCCTGACTGTGATCCCCTGTGAGAATTCTGGGAAAGGAGAGAGACACCTACTAGACTGCAGCGTGCGCTCCCTGACCTCCGGGGTGTAGGCCCCAAGGCCCAAAGCTGAGCGAGCGGCTAGCTGGAAGACATACTCTGTGTTGGGCTTCAGGTCTCTCACAGTGAATGAAGAGGTGGGATCAAAGGTCTTCGAAACCTGCAGAGCGGGTGGGGGTGCACGATACACACAAAAAAAGAGGGCATGAGCAAGGCTTGATAAGCCTCTCCTTCCTGTTTCCTCTTCATACTCTTAGTGGGATTTCACCCGCTAAGAAATGGGGATGTTGCGGTTTACTCAGGGTTCCCCCGAGTCCATCTCGGTTGCTCACCTCCTTCTGGTTCTCTCCTCTGTAGATGAGCTCATACTTCACTATCATATCCTGGCGGGGAGGACTCCATGTCAATAAAATACTACTTTCCGACTTGGCCTCGGCTCGGAAGTTCATGGGCTGTCCAGGAACTAATGGAAGGGACAAGAAAAACCCAGAAGACATTATATCTAAAATAGGGGGAGACATCCAAGACGACTTCCGGAGTCCTGATGCCACCACACCGAGATGTTCCTTGCCAGCTGGCGATGTAGAATAATACATGACAATGACATTAAGACAACGAGGTATGCTGTGCTACACGACTCCAAGGAGGATGTTCAAGCAACACAAATTTGACATTTTGGACCGAAGCGCTTGTTGTTTCTTTTAACAGACAGAGCATTGATGATATTTAAAGGTAAGACTGGATGAAAATGCATCCTAAAAGACTAACCTGTCTGATGCAGACATTTCTACCTAGCTGATCAGTGTGATGGGATACAGGCAACTAACTTCCCGCTTCTCCCTTTTTGCTTAAAATATTAAGAAGCATAGAGTCACCGAGGCACTCAGGAAAGCTGTCCCAGTCCTTGGGTTATCAGGACAGATGAACTGATATACTCTACCCAGAGATGCAAAGGTACTCCAAATTTTGAAGTCATGGGGAGAAAAATGTCTTCTCCTCTGAAGAAAACCAGAATTTCGGGGGGGGAAATTTAAATATATGCAATACTCACTTTCATATCAAACCTAAACTTCTTTTACTGATTGAGCAACGTAAAGCATATCATTCATAACTTAGCGTGTAGAATTGTACTGTTTGGTATACAGGATTTAAAGGTGTCTTCGTTTTCTATAAGAAAAAAACTGCAAGTATAAACAATACTTCAGGGAGCTGAAAACTGCTGCACACGACATGCTGCACACGACGCTATTGTCTGCATCTTTAGTGTTTGCCGTCTGAGAGGTGGAGGGGGGAGTTCAAAGTCGAGAACAAATTATGTAGCAAACAAAAGAAAAGTGTTTGGACAGAAACTTGCTAGGTAGCTAGGGCAACTGCACATTTGGCTACTAAGCTAAACTTTGTAACACTGGAAAAACTGAACTCTTAATAATGTATGATCATTAGACACATCATAGCATATTGTTTCCAAAACTGGATTTGATTTTCAGTATTCCAGCAAACTTCTCAGTGTTTCTGTTGGAAAAACGGGAAAAGACCCCTTTTTCTGGGCCCTCACATCTCTAGCTATGCCATTTATGGGGGGGGGGGGAATCATAGAGCTGTAAGGGATCTCCAGGGTCATCTAGCCCAACCCCCTGCACAATGCAGGAAATTCACAACTGCCCCCCACCCCCCAGTGACCCCTGCTTCATGCCCAGAAGGCAAAAAAAAAGCCCCACACTAAAACCCAACACCACCAAAACCCCTCCAGGATCTCTGGCCAAACTGGCCTGGAGAACACTGCTTCCTGACCCCAAAGTGGCAATTTTGGCAGGGGAGTGGGACAAGACCTTTCTCATGCTGCTGTGGCCTCCAAGGGCTCCCTGCTACAGCTTTGCAGAAAACCAAGGTTTAGAAGGCTCAGCAATACTGCTTGGGTTGCATAGCAACCTCCCAAATGACCACTGAGAGCTCAGTGGGCATTCATTTATTAAAGCAATAAGTGTTGCTTCTATTATTCTGGGGAAGTTTTAATCCCCCAGTGTATTTTCTTTTAAGAGTTCAGATTTTCTGCAAACCTGGGGCTTCCTTCAACTTTGTAGGGCAGTCCTCACTATTGGTCCCTACCTCCATTTTGCAGATCTCTTGAACCACGCTCTATGGCCTGGTTCAGAATTAGATATATGATGTGAAAGACCCCTATGAGGAACTCTTCTGTAAAGCAGCAACAAAAACCACTCTTCCCATATTCCAGGTCAGATCTACAACAATGATTATGATGATTATAATAATTTTCATTGCAAACCTTTCAGAACTCAAGCCTAAACATCTTGCAAAGGAAATGTCAGTATTTAGATTGGGTTTTTGAAGTTGAAATAATTGTTACTCAATCGGCAGTGGAGCTGTTAAGGTTGTAGTCTTCAGTGACTGTGGTTGATTTCACATTACCTCTTTAAACTACATGGTTTCTGTTATTGGCCCGTCATGGAGGAAACCGGTACAGGGACGGCTGTTTCAAACACCGCATTTCCCTTCTGGTAAGGAGCTGTCTCTGAAGCGCTGTGGCCATTTCAAACTGTGCCGCTTTCTTTTTCCCGCCATTTTCCTCTGTGCGCAAAATCTCCGAGAGGGGTTGTTTTTTTGAACATTTTATTGGGAGCGCTATGACGCTGATTTGACATCCTGTTATAGCGCTCTCAATAGGACATTTTTTTTAAAAAAAGAGGCGAGATTGTGCACAGAGGGGAAAAGGGTGTGAAAAACCCGTCACGGGAGGAGGCGCTACAGGACATTTTACAAAGCCCACTGTAGCAATTCAGATCCGGAAGAAGGGATTGAAGACCTGAGGAAAGCAGTTTTCGTCGACAGTGCCTCAGACATGCTTCCCAAAAGGAAGACAGCCAGCATTGTATGAACAGGTAAATACATTCTGTTAACAGCTGGTTACTAAAACGGGTCTGTCTGAAATGACAGGAAAAAAACATTAGTAACCAGTTCCTGAAACGGAATAGATAGGCTGTCTAAAATCCTTCTGTGTGAAATAGTCATTCCCTGACCTCTGTGTTGTGTGTGCATGTACACATGTACAACCATGACACAGAAATTCAGAATATGTAGAACAAAGCACAGAATAAAGGGGAGCGGTGGCACAGTGGGTATATCCCATTTTTCCCGCCATTTTCCTCTGTGCGCAAAATCTCCGAGAGGGGTTGTTTTTTTGAACATTTTATTGGGAGCGCTATGACGCTGATTTGACATCCTGTTATAGCGCCCTCAATAGGACATTTTTTTAAAAAAAGAGGCGAGATTGTGCACAGAGGGGAAAAGGGTGTGAAAAACCCGTCACGGGAGGAGGCGCTACAGGACATTTTACAAAGCCCACTGTAGCAATTCAGATCCGGAAGAAGGGATTGAAGACCTGAGGAAAGCAGTTTTCGTCGACAGTGCCTCAGACATGCTTCCCAAAAGGAAGACAGCCAGCATTGTATGAACAGGTAAATACATTCTGTTAACAGCTGGTTACTAAAACGGGTCTGTCTGAAATGACAGGAAAAAAACATTAGTAACCAGTTCCTGAAACGGAATAGATAGGCTGTCTAAAATCCTTCTGTGTGAAATAGTCATTCCCTGACCTCTGTGTTGTGTGTGCATGTACACATGTACAACCATGACACAGAAATTCAGAATATGTAGAACAAAGCACAGAATAAAGGGGAGCGGTGGCACAGTGGGTATATCCCACTGTCTTAACATCCGAACTGTGTTAGTTCGAGCCCTGCGCTGGTGTGAGCAGCCAGCCTGTTGTCCCCAGCTCATCGTCCACCCAGCGATTCGAAAGCTTCGGCGAGTAGATAAAATGGGAACCACTCCTTAGAGAGGGTGGGGACACCAATCTCCCCTGTGGGAGGGTGTTAGCTGACAGTCGGGACTTCCTGGTCGAGGTCGGAAAAAGGCGAAAGAACTTCTCGGCTACAAAAATCCCTGCAGTGGATGTCTCCGGCCAGGCGGTGGCAGTGTGGCGATGTGACATACGGGTCCTGAAGCCTGGTCGACAAGCAGCTGTTCGGAAAATGACTGAGCCAAGCCAGAAGACGTTTACACCGTGCAGTGACAGCGTGTGCAATTAAAAATGAATATATGTTGTCCTCCCTATCCCCTTTGAACATTGTTAGTCCCCCGTCTAATGTGTAACTGTACATCGCTTTGAGCCTACTGGGGAAAAGCGATTAATAAACTGAAAGTACTATTATTATTATTATTTAAAAATATCAAATCAGTAAGATTCTAGCACCCTGCCCTGGATGGCCCAGGCAAGCCCGATCTCATCAGATCTCAGAAGCGAAGCAGAGTTAGTCCTTGAATGGAAGACCACCCAGGAATTCCAGGGCTGCTACGCAGAGGCAGGCAATGGCAAACCTCCTCTGAGCATCTCTTGCCTTGAAAACCCTACAGGGTGGCCATAGGTTGGCTGTGACTTGGTGGCACTCTACACACACACAAAGAGGATTCTAGCTTGACAGTGTATGAAGCAATTCCTGGTAGGGTTGCCAACCCCCCCGGTTTGCCAGGGGTCCCACCCCCAACACCCACAGCCACCCCTCCCTTTAAGTGTGTGAAATCTGTGTTTCCTCCCAAGTCCGTGTTTCCTCCCAAGCCCGAGATCTCCGCTTGAGATCAGGCTCGCAGGGAAATGCCAGCTTCGTGCATTTAAAAGGGAAACGCAGCTGCTCTTAAAGGGGAAACGTCGGCTCCTGCTCTTAAAGGGGAAATGCCGGCTCCCGCTCTTAAAGGGGAAACACCGGCTCCTTTAAGTGCAGGGAACTGCCGTTTCTGGAGATCCGGCGCGTGGGCGGGGGGGACACGACGTCCCCAACGTGACGTCATCACGTCGGGGATGCCCCGCCCCCTCCAGGAACGCCCCCAAACTCCCCCTCTGGGGGTGGAAGATGAACTTGGCATGAGCCTAATTCCTGGTGAAACCACAGGAGTTCGATGAAACAGATCGACCATGGGCAGGGATGCCCTACATCACTCTGACCTGCCGTTTGTCTAGCAAAACGAGAATAAGTTATGCAAAAATGGTCCGTCCTGCTCAAAGACAGAAATCATGCAAATTTACTTGTAAACAGTGCAATTTTTCTTCTTCTTAAAGCACAAAATGCACACAGGCCTGGTAATTTCTGAACGGACACGTAAGCCACTTCTCTCTTTTAACACAAGCACCAGTCCGGCACTGGTGGCTCCATAACCAAACAAATGTAAGAGAGGATCAAGCCACTTACTACCCTGCGGAGCAGCCTGTGTAATACAGTCCGCCACGTTGTGCCACATCTAGAGAGCCGGGTGTGTTTGCAAACATCATCGACTGCACCTGTCTCCGAGGACTCACCTCCTTGCTGTGTTTTCACCTGGATGGGATCAGAGAGCGGCCCGTCTCCTACAGAAGTGAAAGCCAGGACTCGCACGGTATACGTTTCCCCTTCCAGAAGGCTGCTCACTGTGGTCAAGAGACTGTCATCGACATTGTGTTTCTGCCAGTTACTGACAGGCTGGTCCGGTTCCATGGTGTAGTAGACCCGGTAGCCTCGGATCTGCCCGTTTGGCTCCTCGGGCTCATCCCACTGGATGAGCATTGTGGAGGCACTCAGCATCCGACCCTGGACATTCCGGGGGGCACTCGCCGGGGCCTGCTCTCCAGTCCTGGTCACCACAGGTTCACTTGGGGGCCCCTGCCCGATGGTGTTCACGGCCGACACCCATATCTCGTATTCTGAATTGGGGCTGAGCCCCCCGATACTGTAGCGTGTGGTAGTGATGTCTTCTTTGATCTGGTAGGGACCATCTTGGCTCTTTGATTTGTACTCGATAACGTAGTAAGACACCGGGTCAGGATTCCCCGAGTCCCAGGTGATTGTGATGCTCGTCGCAGTGGTCTCTGTCACCACGGGAGTCCCTGGTGCCTTGGGAAGTGCTGAGAAAAATTGGGAAGCATTAGCTTAAGCACCACTACAGGCGACCATAAACGTTGCACCTAATTGGCTAGTTAGGGCGCCAGGAGCCAGCAGCGCGGGTGTCGATTATGACGCGGCTGTTTGAGAAAGAGCCACGGAAACATTCCAGCCCTAGTTATGCACACTTTATTATCCTCCTTAAACTGCTCCATCAAAAAGGGAAAGTGTTCAAGCTCAGCATCTGGAATCGTTAATGTGAGCTCGGAGCTAAAAAGGAAACGACTGCTTGCGAGCCTGCCTGCGGGGGGGGGGGGGGGGGAGCCACATGGCAGGGAAACGGCCAGGTGGAGGCAGAACTCCTGAAAGGCTCTGCTCCCATCTTGGGCTGGCTCTGCAACAGGAAACAACCAGAGAAATTGGGTCTCCTTGCTCCTCTTCCAAAGATGCAGGGGAAGCGATGTCTGGGGGGAGTCCCAGGAAAAAGCATGAATACTCTATATCTGTACCTCACACCCATTGCCAGAAGAAGCCTGTGCTGTGCCCTCCACAACTCGTATCATCATAGAGCTGGACTACCCCTTATAGGCCATCTAGGTCAACCCTCTGCTCAGTGTAGGACATCCCAAAGCTAGAGAATCCTGGAGAGAGAGCTGTCTAGCCTCTGCCTGAAGTGAGGGCAAGCCCAGCCCCTCCAAAGGTAACTGGTTCCATTAAAGATAGATCCAGTTGTTCAGCTGTGTTGGTCTGAAGCAGTAGATCTAATGGGTGGAAATTACAAGGGTGTCGTTACCGGCTAAATATCAGGAGAAACTTCCTAACTGTGAGAGTGGCTGAGCAGTGGAACAGACTGCCTCGGGAGGTGGTGGATGCTCCTTCGCTGGACGTTTTCAAGCGAAGGCTGGATGACCATCTTTCGGGTATGTTGTAGGGCTATCTTTCGGCTATGCTCCTGCAGAGTGCAGGGGGTTGGACTAGATGACCTGCAAGGTCCCTCCCAACTCTAACATTCTATGATTCTAACACTGGACTCTAAACTGGTTCCATTAAAGACCTGCTTTTACTGTTAGGGAACTGCTCCTAGTGTTCAACTGTCATCTACCCTCTGGTGACTCAAGCCCATTTGATCTGGTCTTCCCTCTGGATGGTCAGAGAACAAATCCATGCTCAGTCCCATGTGCCAGCTCTTCAGGAACATGAAAAAATGATCATCTCTCCCCACCCCACCCTGCCCAGTCTTTTCTTTTCCAGGTTAAACACATCTGGTTCGTTTAACACACCAGGGATCCCCAACGTGGCAGGGCCCAGGGATGCCTGCCAATACTTCCCTTGGCACCTGCCAAGCTTTTCAGAAAGTGGGTGGAGCCACTGTAAGGCTCCCTTCATGTGAATGAAAAGGTTTCCCGTTGTGGCAAAATGGAGAGGGAAGTACTGCATTTGGCTCCACCCCCATCAGCCATTTTGGTATTTGGTGGCTTTCTCCACTGTCTCCAAAAATTCCATCGGGGCCTGCACACTCAAAAAGGTTGGGGGTCCCTGAGCTAAGACTTGGTTTCCAGAGCCCCGACCATCTTCCCTGGCCTCCTGTGAACCCCGTCTAGTTTGTCTAAAACTGCATAGCTCACTAGGGGCTAGAAAGTTCACAAACATCTTGCATGTCTAATCCTTGTCTCACACACACACACCCCGATCCCATGTGGACATGTTCTAATGCACCCACCATTTCGCTTATGCACACTGATGTTTGCACATATCCACACAACCTTTGCTAGTTCATCTCTACCATTCTCAGCCATCCTAGGCCTTCTTGCTCCCCAAATAATCCCACTTTACCTCTCAGAGCCACACAGGATCTTATTCATCCTTATAAGGCTCCATCTTCTCTCTCTTGGTGCCCCTTACGTCTGCTACCATGCCCTCCTGCCAGATTCTCAGCCACCCCCAGATCAAACATCTACTCAAAACAAACCGTATGACTTGCCCGGCTCCATGGGTCCTGAGGCTGACCACAGCCCCCGGAATTGTGCCCCCTAGTCCCCCCTTTCAGTGGCCCTGGCCCTAAACCAGAGCCCCACAGATGTCCTGTTCCTTTATTTATTATTTCTATTCCTGCCCCCCTTCTTTCTCCCTACTGCCCAGAATTCCCTTCCAGGACACCCACCTGGGCGCCACCATTCCTTCATACAGCCCAACTTCTCCTTCCACCTGTACACGTTGCTATTCTAACGAGTCTTGCACAATAAAACACACATATAGACAGACACCCCCCCTACCCATGCCGGTGAAAATACTAGATCACTGGTACATGCAGAACTGCCATGAAACACACGTGCTTTAAAAACAAGAGCCAGATGCAGTGGGTTATCAGAACATGCACATATGATTTCTTTTTTGCTTTCAACGGACAGCCGGGCTCACTAGGTACATGCCGCTTTCAGTTCTGTGCATGCCGCTCTCAGTTACAGCCAGGCAGTTTTCGTCTCATGCAAGGGTGTGCCCCGTGACTCGTCAGCGGCATTGGGCTTGCGCAGGCACACCAATGCATGCTTCTAAACGCATGTGCATGAACATGTCAAAAGCATGCCATGGGATGCTCAGCTGTAGAAAAACGCACAAGAGTTCTCGCGAGAGGGATCTCCAGGCATCCAAACTAGAAATCCAGGTGCAACATCAGAAGAAAAGCTCTTCATATCAACAGGCGAGGACAGAGGTAAGGAAATCCGGTGAGCCGGAAGTGTGTTGGGCATGCAAGCGAGCAGACATCCAAAGGCAAACAGGGTGGCAACCGAGAAGGCAAGCAAATGAAGTCCTGGAGGCCTAGCCAACAGCCTCACTAAACATTACCAGTGCAGAGCCTAGCAGGGAATTCCAGGCTGGCGATACAAACTCAGAAGACCGAGCGCCATAACAACTTACATTTCACAGTGATCTGTGCGACAGCTTCAATGACACCCAGGCTGGACATGGCGACGCAAGTGTAGTTGGCCGAGTCCTTCACATCCGTTAGCTCCAGAACATTCCGGCCCACCGGCATGTCATCCTCCGGAGTCAAATCTTCTGCCCCTTGCATCCACTTCACGTACGGCATGGGTGAACCAACGGCTACGCAGGTGATGTTTACATTGCCACCGGGCATGATCTCGTGGCTGACAGGCAGGATGGAGAAACGAGGGGCCACGCGGCGAACTGTGGACAAAGTGCACAGAGGTAACAAAAACAAAACAAAAACAAAAAAAGAGAGAGAGAGAGAGAGAAAAGAAAGAAAGATAAGGGGGGAAAAAAAGGAAAGAAGAGCAGAAAAGAATTTAAATATAGATGAGGCTTTAATTCTTTGTCGTTCCTTCATTTAAAAAAAATAAATAAATCTGAAATCAAAAAATTATTGGAATACCAAAAATCAATCAATCAATCAAAAAAGAAAAGAAAAACAGAACTTCAAAAATAATCTTACTTTCACAAACAATATATAGAATATAGACATAAAAGCGATATTTCATAGCAACAGGGTTCCATTGATCAATTTTAGACCCATCACAGCACAAATAAATACACAAAAATTTATTAGCAATTTCTCATCTTTAAAAGCAACAAGAGGTGGCGTTTCAGAGCTGGGACATCCCCCCCACCCCCAACAGGCCTGGGGGGATTTTTCGCTCCCTACCCTCCTAAGACAAGCCCCCATTTTCGGGTGGTATTTCTCCCTTTTCAACTCTTTTCACTTCCAAGGATGCGGAATTAGCCTCCGTTGTTGGTTTTTTTAAAAAAAATTACTCTGCAAGCAAGCTTTGTCGCCTCCAGAGACAAAAGAAATAGGCAGGAGAAGGGTGGGAAGACGAAGGGGAAAGTCTACGCTGGGCCTGAGGAGGTTATACATTTGGCAAAGGGAGAGGCACGGAGCCCATACAAAAAGCCATAGAACCCGGTCTGTGTGTGTGTGTGTGTGAGATCTCTCACCACAGGGCAACTTGCCCATTTGAATCATTTGTGCTCTGGGCAGGGCACTGCGGTGTCTTCAAGGCCAGACTCTGGGGGGAGAGGTGTGGGACTCCAGTTCACAGGGGGCCCACAAGCAAGCTGCAGCTTCACATTTGAAGTATACTTTGCTACCAAGGGGTGGGTGGGGGCACATAAGGCCATGATCTAAAGCGGGAGCCCCCAACCTTTTCAAGCCTGTGGGCACCTTTGGAATTCTGGCGCAGTGTGGTAGGATGGCTGTCAGAGGAGGTGGAGCCAGCCACAAAATGGCCACCACGCCTTGCCCTCCGGTCACACTGTGAAGAGCCTTGTGTCAAGGTGGAAGCTGCTGTCAGAGCAACGTTTTTAAAATTCTGCAAGGCGAATCCAGTCCTGCCTGGACCCGCCCAGTTTCTAAAAATACTTGGCGGGCACCATGGCGCCCACAGGGACCCCAGGACTAAAGGCTAACGTTACCCAATCGCATTGGCTGACGAGGCAGATTCTCTTGTGCGTCAGCCGCACACCGGCTTCGGCTGCTTTGTAGGCACTCCGAAGGGAGACTGGCGTGAGGGTTGGAGTTGGGGGTGACCCAAACGATACATAGGTTAAAGGGGGACAGGGCTTGTTCCCTGGAGGTGGCCAAAATCGCACTTGAATTTAGGCCGCAGAAGGCCCC